TGTAGGTTTCCAGACTGTAGCTTGGGAAAGGGTTAATATTCCCAAGGCAATGATGTTGTTTCAGCAATTCTTTTCCTACTCCTCACTCTCCTCAGAGAATCCACAGCTCAGTTACAATTCTGAGTATTCTGGGTCTATTTTGTTTACCCCACTTCTCAGAATTTCTGCCAGGGTGAGGCATTGTTATGTTTCCTCTACAATGAGAGAAGAAATGAAAAGGCAGCATAGCAGGCAGGGAGACCAGATCCCTTGTCCACCAGAACTTGTGGACATTTAAGAATCTAGGGGTTCTGAGAAGGTCTGTTGCTGATGTTGAGTGTAAAGAAGGAGCTGTGAGAGTCCTTAGAGCCTGACTTGAATTCAGACTCTTCCAGTCTGAGACTCTTTGCTAGACTTTGACTCGTAAAACACTACGAGTAAGCAGCCCCTTCACGGAGCTTCCTTTTCCTTGTTTGTAGCTCGAGGATAGTAATGTCTGCACTGAGTGCATATCTGGGATGTCTGAGGACCAGATGAAGTCATGTCTGTGAAAGCCTCCTGGAGCTGGGAAACACTATATGTGGCATTGTTAAAACAGAGGCAAATGAGAATCTTATTTTCACCATTAACTTCAACCTCCTCTTTACTCGACTTTTTAGCTCCTTCATGGGAGAGTCAAATCAAAAAGATTTGATTTTTCTTTTTTAATTCTTATTTCTTTCTGTGGCAGATGTGCTATGAAGCAGTGACAGGGATAACAATTGACTTCAGGAGCAAAAAGGATGGGGTATGGGTTATTCTCCATAAAGATCCCAAGATCCAATTCCTGAAAGACTAAGGATTAACAGCTTCCCACCTGCTCACAAATCTTTCCTATTCACTCCATAAACACACAAAAATCTTACTGTCGACAAGACGCATGTGTGTGAGCTCACATACATTCCAGCTCTATAAGACATGGTCTCAGGCAAGTTAATTTTGTGTGCTCATATGTACACCAGGGAAATAATAGTCCCTTCCTGACAGAATTCTTGAGAGCAGTAAATGAAACAGTAAATGTCAGATTCCTAGATGAGTACCTGGCATATAGTAAGCACTCAGTAAGTCATTCTTTCTGCACCTCATCAGATTCTCACAACCATATGAGTTGTCAGTTTATCTTGCTCCTACTTTATAGATGGAACAGTTAGAGACTTATTTTTGCAAGATGATTCTCCTTGGGTTGTTTCCAAATTGAGCAACTGTGCTGCTATTAACATAGGTGCACATATATTGGTGTGTTATGATGCTTTTAATTATTTGGGGAAGATACCCAGAAAGCAAATAGCTAGGTCAAATGGGACCTCTAATCCTAGTTTTTTGAGGAATCTCCACACTGGTTTTCATACTGGTTGCACCAGGCTGTATTCCCACCAACAGTGGAGAAGGGTTCCATTTTCCCCACGATCCTACCGGCATTTGTTTTTGGGTGATTTCTTAATAAAAGCCATTCTTTCTAAATCCTTTTACTTCTGTCCTTCATTTTATTTACTAAAGCATTGCAGAGGTATCCAGGTTCTAATCATTTAGAGATAGAAATATTATAGTTATTTCAATTCTTAATACTTGTACAGTAGTGCCTTGGTTCTGGAACTTAATTCGTTCCACTTTTCTGGAAAAATGGCTGCAGTCATGTTCACTACCTGATGCAGAGTTTGCAAACAAAAACAAAATTTTGCCAAACATTTGTGTTTGCAAACTAAATTGTTTGTGAACAAAAGTGTTCATGAAATGAAGCACCACTGTATTTAATTGAGACTTGTGTTACAGGCTAGAAAAGATCTTGAAAAGTCATTTTGCACATTTTTTTACAATGTATCTTGACCATTTCAAATAAATCCACCCTATTCTTAGTAAAGTTCTAGTAACAGAATTCTGTATTGTGTTTCAGTTATTTATTTTCAGTGAACATAACGAGGATGTGTTACCTTGTATGGACCATAAATAATTCTTATTGCAGGGACTCGTGTTTCCAAGCCAAGACAACCAGGGGGTAAAATCTGTGACAGAAGAGTAATAAAATTGTATTTTTTCTACATCTGCTCTTACAATATTAGGAATTCTAGCTGTACTCCAAACTCTATCATGTAGTTCTGAGAGTCCTCAGGAAATTTCTTCTGTGTGTCCCATGAATCAACTCTTTCAGCTTTGAAGTAATTTTATTCTTCTCAGCTCTGGTTTCTTACCACTATTACTCATTGGGGTTGAAGAAACACATCCTTCCCACCCAGAGTTGTCTCTGAAAATGGAGGCATCAGTCTGAAAATTCTTTCTAATGCTTTAAGTGCCCCTCAAATATTTTTGGAAGTATCACATTCAGCTTTATACTGCTCTTGTTTTGGTGGTATCTAGTCCCTAGAGTTCAGGGTTAGACTTTGGATTTGGCTCAGAATAGCCCAGGTGATAGAGAGGGTATTTTGAGCAACAGGCATAAGATTTTAAATGGTAACTATGGTATTTTTCTTTGAGCTACTCCTTCCCTATGACAAAGCTTGGTTGTACTTGGTACCATCTTTTGTCTCTTCACTCGATGAGTTCCCCACAAGTTGCCTTGGTCTGTATACAACTGAACACTTGATGGGGCCGCACATCCTTCATCTGGGGTATCTGGTTTTCTGGGGTTTGAAGTCAATATCTGGCTCAAGCTGGAACCCTAGTTTTACACACACACACACACACACACACACACACACACAGAGAACCACCAAAGACACTGGAGTTTGAGGACACATACCTATACACACCTGTCTTGTCACACACACACACACACACACACACACACACACACACAGAGAGAGAACCACCAAAGACACTGGAGTTTGAGGACACATACCTATACACACCTGTCTTTTCCTAGGTTCTGGCTTGATGAAGCAGTTACACTGTTTTCCACATTTAACCATGATATGGCTTGTATCTAGATGTACCCCGAAGCCTCATGCAGTCTTAGGTGGGGCTTTTCCAGGGGTGGCTGAATCTAGAGTGTGTGGTTGGTTCATGTTGCAGTGCTAGGCCTGAGGACATTAGGATTAAAAGCATGAGTGCTACATGCCCTAAGTAGTCTGAATAACATAAAGGGGGCAGGAAGATACTGTTAGGGCTCCTTGTTGTTTTTGCTGTCTTCTTCGTCCATGAACTGTTGCCCTTCTGCCATATGCCAGAGGAGCTTCCTTGGAGATAGCTGATTATGGACTGAAACTTCTACAAATTGTAAAGGCAAAAACCTTTCCTCCCTTAACTTGTGGGTGTCGGGAATTTTGTCTCAGCAATGAGCAAAGTAACTAAGACAACCTGTATCTTTACTCAGTCCATGAAGTTATAGTTCATACTACTGTACTTCATAGTAATACCAAGAGATAAACTACTATAGGTTTAGATGAATAAGGAGGATCCTAGGACTATTTCTGTAACCAAATGTTCATAGCAGTCTCTGACAGGGAGGGATCTGGTAAAATGCTTGATAAATGTTCAATATATGTTTTTTAAAGTGAGCTGAATGTCTTAGCCTTGGAAACCCTCAGACCTGAACAGTTTATCTTTGTATTGTTCTTTCTCTTTGTAAAGTAACCCTGGTTCTAGTTTTTTCCTTTTAGGTCTTGTTTTCTGCCTTAATCATCCCTGTGGCTCTGAGCAGTCTCTCTGTTCTCCTTGTGCTGTTCTAGCTGTGAAGAAGACATTACAGCTGCTTTCTGACTTTCACACTGGTGCTGGGCTTAGGAGCCTGTCAGGGACTTAAAACTGTCACTCTGGATCTTAATTTTATGACTACTACTTTCCTGGAGATTTCTTTGCCTCCCTGTTCCTTTTGTGAAGCATCGCCTGTTTCTGACTTATTATGGGGATGCCCCTCCCTCCTTTGCCTAGTGGCCCCACCTCTCTTCCTGCTCATCTGGGAGCAGCTCAAGTACAAGAGAGAAGAGCTGGTTTTAGCTCCAGAGCTCAGAAGACGAGGACTCTATGAGGAGGCTGGCTTTCAAAGGTAGGCCAGGTCTCCTTACCTACCTTTGCCATCTCCTTCCTCTGTGTGTCTCTTGCCCTCCAGAGCCTGCTTGGCCTGCACTCCCTCCACTTGCAGAGAATCAGGGACTCCGAGTCTTGCTCAGGAGTTAGCCAGGCTCTGGAGGGTTAAGGTTGGATCCTGGATAGTTGGAGAGGATTATCAGTTATCATTTAGAAACCGGAGCAAGGGTTCCTGCTTGTCGCTTACACACCACTTTCATAAAATCTCTGGCCCTGGCCAGAGGAACAGGATGGGAGGGGGTTGCGGGGGAGGAAGAAAGTTTACAAAATAATTTAGAAAGTCCTTGTAAAAGCTTGTGTTTTCGTTTAGCAGCAGGAATCCAGGACAGTAACGTACCCTTAGCAGCCACTGCCAAATGAGAATTGAGTGGGAAAAAAAAAAAGGAATCCTGGACTTTGGAACCCTTGGGCTTTTTTTTTTGTTTCTTTTTTTATTTTTCATTTTTGTAGAGGTGCCTGGGGAGATTAAACCAAATCATTATTAAACCAAATCATTTTTGAGGAGAGGAGGGCTCAGCTGTGAGCTCTCCTGGCCCAAATACTAAAGACCAGCTCTGTGTCTTTGACCCAACTGCCCTGTAAATTTCAATTGAAAGAAACTCCAAATGTTAAGTGTGCTTATAGTTTCAGTTTAAGTAAGAAAAATGAGGTGGGAGGGGGAGTTCACAGGATAGGGACTGAGTTTTAGAGGGAGGGAAGAGGGTGTGGGGATGAATAATACGGAAGGGAGCTATGTCTTTAAGTCTGTCCTATGGTCATACATATTTTTTTCTTCTATGAATGGGTTTTGCTGTAAATTATAGCTTTGCCCATGGTCCCTTGGGTCAAAAGAAATAGTCTCTAAACAGAAAACAGCTCTGATTGGTGACTTTCCTTCTTCCCTCCCCAACCCCCTTCCTAATTGAAACCAAATGTGCAATATATTGGATGCTGGGATCCCTGGCGCTCTCCCAGGAATCCTCAGAATGTGAGGTTTCTCTCAAAGGCATCTTGCATCAGCCTGTGGATGTATGCCTGCCACCAGCCTCCTTTACGGGCAAAGGGGAAAAAGAAGTGCTTCACAACAAATCCTTTCTGGGTTGGGGGAACGCAGTGGACTATAACTGTTTGCTTCTTTACCAAACTGTGCACTCCTGGATAAAAGTAAGTTATGTGGATCTTATCTTTTCCCCCTTTATGTTTTTCCTTCTTTCTCAAAAACGAAAACTCCAGAGATTCTTCTCTTAGTGTTTCTGGAAAAATTTTAAAAGGAGTCAGAGAGAAGTTTTGAGTCAGACCAGGAAGGGCAGAAGTCAGATCCCACATTTTGGGGGCTCTGTATTTGCATTATGGAGGAAAGGATAAAGAATGTGAAGAACCACCGAAAGCCAGAGCAAGGGAAATGAATCCACAGCAGATGGAAGATACAATAAACAGCCTTAGCAGGGCTGAAACTGTTGGCAGGCGAGATAGGCCGATTGCAGAGTTAGGTCTTTAGGTTGAGGACAGAGAAAGCTGAGCAGGGCGGCTAGGTTTTAGGCATTTAGTAATGGTATTTGAAGGCGCCAAGTCTCGGAGAAAACATAACTAGGAACTTTGTGTGTTGCAGGCAGCTGCTGGCAACTTTGGATGAGGGGTGGCTTTTCCCTGAGGTTTGGGGTGCTGCTGGGTAGAAGGCCAGTTGGGTGGGGGATTTCTCAGTTGGTGACTCTGCAGTCCAGCCTCTCAGACTCATTTCCTCCTCTTGGCTGGGTGCCTTTCTCTTTGTTATCTAGTGCCTAGGGGCTGTTTTCAGTTAGGACCTCTGAGCCCTGGCCAAAGTTCAAGAGTCCCATCCAAAAGGAAAGATGGTTTTTCCAAGTGGCCAAAACTCTCAGGCCAGCCATTTGAGGTGAGAGTTCGCGCTGCTCAAGCCAGTAGGGGGTTCAATTTTTTCCTGTCTTTTTTCTTTTTTTTTTTTTTTTTTTTTTTTTTTTTTTTTTTGCTTGGAGGAACAAGAGTCCTGCAAATGGCCTTTGAGATCTCACTGGAGCCCCTCTTTTCACAGATGTCTAATAGGACAGGAAGGGAAATGTTCATTTTCAGGGTTTTACTATGCATTTGCTGTGGAAATGAAAATGAAATCAAAGTTCTTTCTGCTGTTAATCCAGTGCTCTTTCTGTTTTATACATCTGCTTGAAAATGTCTCTACTTGTTCTTTTGTAAAGGCTTCTTCTAGCTGAGACAATAGAGGCAGTTTCATTAACAAATTACCACGAGGACATTAGTTATCAACAATAGAGGATGCTAATGGTGGGTCACCAG